TTGTACATAATACTATGAAAGAAATATGAAACATGGTATCCATGTTTTTGGAAATATTGGTTTGACGAATCTACATACATGTAAGCCTTTACGTTTTTTGAAAATATAAAAATTAAAGAAAATAAGACTTGGATTCGGCTTTCATGGATATTAAGAGATGGAAAAAAGAATAATGAGAATTTATTCCGGCCTTAACATTTTAAAATTCGATATATTCAAAATAAAAAAGACAAGGCTGTATGGGTTAGTTCCCTTGCCTGCTCTCAGGAGCGAATAATTAAAAAAACTACAACTTGACGTTTTGATTTTGATCAATAATTCCAAATAATTCCTTTCTTCGTGATTGTGATTCATTCTTCAATTTAAAACATAAATTAAAATGCCTGCACCAGTAAGTAATACTCAGCAACAGCAGGGGCAGCTATCAAGGGAATTAAGTGAATCTGAACAAATGAACAAGAAATTAATAGCTACTCTCCTAAAAAGCGTAATTAAAGGGGGTGATCCAACGGTAGCGAAAATATTTGAACCTGAGAATAACAGTGAAGAAAACAACGAGAGGAAATGTAGCTGCAACCCAAATCCACAGTAATGTAAACTCACCCATGAAACTAATAATTGAACTGTGAGCTTCTGAGACCAAAATCTCTGTCTAAAACATACCATCATCCCTTTCATTATCTTTGACAAAACCGAGATAACAATAAGTTGTAAACGGGAATTTCGGTCTCAGAACCCCATGATAAGACATGCATTTAATATTATATTTTTATTACATTGACACATAATACCATGAATTTCCAGAAACAGAAATAATTGTATAAATTATTTGCATTCAGTATTACACCAGTGGAAATATAACAGTCCACTGAAAAATAACCTTTGTAGCATCAGCAACTGCAGTGTCTTTATCTTTGCTTTCAATATACAATGCCATGCTTTTAAAGTCCATAGTTTCTTTCGCAGCTTTTAGTATGAGAATTATTCTGATACTTGAAAGAGATACTGAACAAAACCTGTCGCAGAAAACAGTTATTGTACATTTATGTAATTAAAATAAAATGTAGTCTTATTTTAAATCTCTTATCAAAAACCTCATTAATTTATCTTACTTCTTACTAATATTATAAATGCAAATGTCTAAATGCGAATGTCTATAAGGCTGAACAGATCTTGGTAAAATGTGGCATTCATATAGAACATAATCTGGAAGAATGCATTGGCTACTAATTAAGTTTTTTTTCAATTTGGTGCAGACAGAGTTGCTAGCGACACTTAGTATTGTTATAAATGTTTCTTTGTGTGAAGTCCAGCACCAATATGTAACTATTATGTAAGAAAAATCATTAAAAATTATGCATAACTAGTAAAACCATATCACTAAGATGTCATGTAATCAAGTCAGACTAGGATAATCGAAAAACGTCTACAAGCAAGAGTCATTGTCTGGTTCTATTGGACAACCTTGATAATTGAGAAACTTGACTTAGAAACCTCTGTAAGCGAGGTAAAATGTTTCAGTCCCTTGGACGCTACATGAAATATTAGTTATGCAGTACTCAGTCATTTTATGCTTACTTAGAGCTGATATACAGATATAGTGTAGTGATGTGGTGAGGTAGTGAGTATTTGGGTAGAATTGTTAATACCAGTTTTACACAAGGGCAGAGTAACACGGCAACACAGTAGGACAGTGCAGTACCTACTAATATAGCTTAAACAATCCTGATAAAGGACATAGAATAGCAAGTGTGCGTTCAAATAATAGCAGTACTGCATTGATGCACTGTCCTACTGTTCTATCCTCGCGTGAAAATGACATAAGCTGCGTACAGCGAGCTAATCTCTTAATGTGTTCGTCTCTGCTGTTCTTGTTAATCTCTGCCGGGGAGTTGGAGGCGTGCTTGTCGATTCAATTGCGACTCAAACTAAGTAACTATCGGACATCTTTTAGGACAGTTTTTTCAAAGTAAAATGTATGTATTAAAAAAAGCTTTTTGTCATTTGTTGTCAACTGTCAAGTCCTTGGGGTTTTGATTTTGATTAATAACTCGTTTCTTTGTGATTGTGATTCATTCATCAATTTAAAACAAAAATTAAAATGCCAGCACCAGAGCAAAATATACAAAGTAATACTGAAGGAATTGTGGAGCAGCCATCAAGGGAAATAAGTCAATCTGAACCTATGAACAAGAAATTAATAGCTAATCTACTTAAAACCGTAATCAAAGGGGGTGATCCAACGATAGCGAAAATGTTTGAACTGGAGAAGAAAACTGAAGGAAACGACGAAAGGAAATGTAGCTGCAATCCAAACCCACAGTAATGTAAACTCACCCATGAAACTAATATTTGATTAATCTACAATATTATACCTATTACAGTATTATCTTATATTATAAGATGTATCAATATAAAATATTAAAATAATCGTATACTTTTATTTTTCCCGTTTATGAAATATTCACGATTTTGTGATGGTATATTCTTAATAATTTTGATTTTATTTCTGAGAAAAAGCTTTTAAAAGGTCATATTCGTTAATTTAATGACCTTATTAAGGTTACTAGACAAGATTCAAGATCTACCATGGGTTTCTGACACATAAATCTCTGTATAAAACATATTGTCATCCTTGTAATTATCTTTGAGAAAATAAATTATATGGGGATTTTGATCTCGGAAAGTAATGGTAAAGTTATATAAAATAAAACATCTCATTGTATAACTATTTATTTTTAACTAAACTTAAACTAGTTACAAACATATTGGTGAGATTTTCTTCTTTAATACCCATAGATTCCATAACATCCAATTCAAATGTTACCAGTTTTAGATGAAATGTGATCTGAAAGAGTATTAAAAAAATTAACAAACAATCTATGTTCTGTTGTCCATCAGGACCAGATGGTCCTAATGGACAACCTTGACAAGCATGAAACATTTCAGTCCCTTGCACTCTTATCCAGGTTCAAATGTAATATACAGAAAAATTTAATCATACTAACTTTATCCCCACATAAAGTATATCTCCATTCAATGTCAATAGCTTTCAATATCTCAGGATCGACCAGCATCACCCCAGCGGTGACCAGGAGTGGTGCTTCAGATTGTATCATTATCTTTGCCAAACGAATATGAAAAGCTCACTTTCACCAATTTGAGAAACAAGCATGTAAAAAAATTTGACTATTAACACAATAATTTCAATAAAAACTATGTACGTGTATTATAATATTTATCATCTTTTTAGCAAAAATACTAATACATTTTGTCGCCTACTTATCCCAGTCGGGCACTTTAGTATAACAATATTATAGTGGCATTGGACATTAGTAACTTACAGTTTATAAACATATGTTTAATCCTTCAACAAAGACCCAATTACGCTCCTGTATGAGTTGGCTTATGATTCTCTGCTTGCTTTTGTTTTCCCACCATTACTTCAACATAGTTGCCCCGGAATTGGACAACATTTATTATGTATCAAAACAATAAATGTTAAAATTATCTTTGGTCTATTTAGATCATACACTAAATGTATGTAGTGAAATTACTTGAAAAAGGTCCATTCTCTGACAGGTTCTAAAAAACCTTCTTCCCGAATTTATTTGGCTCGTTTTCTCGTCTATATCTATATCTATCGTCCAAGGCCTGTGTTTTGAAAAAATACTTCGACGCGACTTGTGCTGGAGGTTATTGAAGATCACCTTTTGGATTCCTCTAATAGACCTTTAAAATTAAAAAAATAAAGAATTGTAGGTTACGTTTTCTATAATTTTTATTTACGATTACTAAATACCTGTTCCTACATTGTTTTTATGTATTATTCTGGTAAATTCAAATATTTAATCCTCAATTCACCAACTTTCTTCCCAAAATAGCGAAATATTATCATTTTGATGACATTATTTTAAGTTACATGCGTTAAAATGTTACTTTTCTAATTGTCGGTGTCACTTGAAAATCGGAATTTCTTGGGAAAAAACAGAGGGAAAACTTTTTGTGGTATTTGGTATTGCCATATTCTTATTACCTAATATTTAGTCACAGCAAGAAGGATGGAAGGAGATGTTAAGTAAACGTATTTCAATAATTTTCGGTAAACGACAATACAATTACAATTCTTAAGATTGAACCATTGTGAATAAAAACTACAAAATATTTCCAAGTATCAAGGAAGTAATTTTTATTAATGAAGATATTGATAAGTTACGAAACCTTAAAACTAGATCATCTTTTTAAATATCAAATAATAGTATACATTTTTTTAAATTACATAAAGTCTTAAATCTATGATATAAAATAAAATATTAAAAAAAACGAATAATTCAATAAAATATGTTATTAAAAGGAGCCCCTTTAGGCAAGGTCCCGAAGATACTGGCAGCGTTCCCCCTCTAGGGAAAGTGCCAGTCTAGTAGAGCCGACTGGTGTAGCAAGAGACCTGACGGTATGATTTTGATTCCATGGAAGATGGGTCGGGTGCTGGTATGGGATGCAACCTGTTCAGACACGCTGGCCCCTTCCCATCTACATGGAACCAACAACAGAGCAGGTGCGGCTTGTGAAGCGGCTGAAAATGCAAAAGCATGCAAATACAGGTGTCTAGGCTCCGAATATCATTTTGTCCCATTCGGCGTCGAGACCATTGGTCCGTGGGGTCCTAGCGCTTTAAGACTTTTTAAGGACATTTCCAAAAAAATAATCGACATCACAGGGGACCGAAGAGCTGGCAGCTACCTCGGTCAAAGAATTAGTTTAGCTGTACAATAATAGTATTATATCCACCTAAAAAGTCCCATGTTTTACATATTATGCTCTTCTTTTTCCGTAATTAAGTTAAACCACAGGTTACTAAAACAACTGAAATCTTACAGACAGAAAATAAAAATTAATTTAAAGTGTGGCTCAGGAAAATTGCAAAATTGTACAATAGTAGATTTTTGATTAATTATGTGGCAACTAATTTGATTACTTGCAACACTGAAAGTAAAATACAACTGTGTGCAGGTGTCAACTGGTGTCAACTGTAAACTTAACCGTTCGTAAACGCCCTGCGCCCAACGCACTCTACGTAAACAAAATTATGAGAATAAACTAAAGTACACACTTTAATTTTTTGTTTGTTTGTGACGTTATAAAATTAACTGTGTAGAATGTCTGTGAGTGCCAGTGCCGAGAATTTGTCGACAGATACCCAGGTAAGATTATAATAACATATTTAAGTTATAAATAACAGTTTTATAAAATTTGTAACTGTATAAAAGTTATTAAACATGTAAGATATTTATCATTCCCGTGTTCACAGCTCATAGTAGTATGATTTAAGCGGCATAGCATGAGTCACCTTTGGGTCCTAATACGGAAGTAGCGACTTGTTTGCCTGTGCCTGAGTGCAGTTGTCACTACGTAACGTAAATTACGCGCCAACCTATTTACCAACTCTCGACTCCTTTATCTCTTGCGTCTTTATTATTAATTGAACTCTGCATCTCAATGTTATCTTCAAAACGCAACCTTGTTTTGAACAGACGTAACAGTTACGCTTTCGAGATTTCAAACCTAACTTACTACTCTAAAAAATACCACGCATATGGATAAACCTCAGCATCTTTGAAATGGCAAAATGTCATCATTAATAATTTCTTGGATTTGTTTTCATAAACATTATGTTTATTAAACAAGTTTATAAATCTGAAATAGATTAATGATATTAATTATATAAGCACAATTCTCTATAATGATTCAATAAAGACGTAACAACAACATAGTTTTAAACTTTATTAAGCGGGGAACTTTTTTATCTGATAAAAGTGCTTACGGCCAGCAAGGACTTAAACAAAGAATTGTGCCTGTTGAATAAGCAATAAATATATGCAAGTTTAGCACCTAAAGCTACCTAGGATTCCGGGTGAAAATAAATTCACCTATTTGTACATCTTTTAAGAACTACATTGAGATGTAGCTGTTTTGTTGATGTACATACAATATTGCTTTTCTGGTATCTTTGAGTTTTGTAATGCCATCTTTTTAAAAAAAAATTGTTGTTTGATAGTTTTTTTATGAATCACAGTGATGCACATTCACTGTTATAAGAATACAGGACAATAGTCTGACTGAGTCTACTTTTCTGTACCTTAAATAAACAGTTATTTCTACAACACAGAACTGAATTCCATATCCAGAATTACACCACTCTAAGACTTGTATAAAAAACTCCTGTCTTTCCAAAGTGAATGACAGGGTTAGTAATATTGTTATAATGGGCTTTACAAATGAAGACTCATTGTATAATAAGTATGCAGCAATTGTTTCAGATTTTTTTGTAGTTTTTTTAAAAACTGTGTACTTATATTTTTTTTATTTTTAGAACACATAACCTAAGAAGTGTTCCTGTCTGTCAAATATAACTTTAAATCAATTCCGCCAAATGTTGTGGTTCTTTAGTACAACAGCATATTGTTGTTTAGTTTTTTTTTATACTCAAAGCATATTGTATTTGCTTATTTCTGTTTTAAAGTAAATAGAAATTTACTTTTCAATTATATAATAACTACTTATGTTAGATAATACATAATGATACTGTAATGATAAAATACTATATTCTAATGAATCATGTAACTTTACTAGCTGCTTATTTAATTGGTATTATGTATTAAGTATACTAGTTGTGTGCTTCTTTTTGAAGTAACACTTTTTTAACAGTTCAATTAAGCAATGTATTGGTAAGTATAAAATTAAAACTGAAAATATGTGTATCAACCCTAACTTAGGGTAGGCTCCGAGCCCCTCAGTGAGGACATTCAGTGAGCTGAAATAATAATAATGTGTAAATCGTTCACTTTTAGAGAAACGGACTAAGCAAAGAGCCATAGTCGAACAAAATATATTTATCCATTTTTCTTGGAGGATGTCATAAAGATGACAATTAAAATTATACCTATCATGTTGATAGTTCAGTTTTATAAATGTATACTGACTAAAAAATTTACACACACAAATAAGCAGACAAGTAGACTAGTCCAGCAATGCATATGCAGTTGCTCTGGTGGTCAGATGGCCATTGGCGTCACTAATTACTTCATTCTTGTTTGCCCACTCTTACATTTTACTTTTCATTCATCAACAACTTTAACTCAATGGAAAGTTAAAATGCGCGAGGTTCAATACTTACTGGTATTATGCAATATATTGAATAATTTAAATGATAATATTGTTGCTGTGTGAACTTATCGTTATTTATTAATAAAGCAAGATCAAGTTGACCTCTGACATTAAAATGAATTCATTTTGAGTTGTAGGCTAAATTGTTTAAACTTTCAAGAGATGTTATAACAAATTAATTAATTAATCATAATTCGACGGTACCAACTGGTTCGGACCCGTCGGGTCCTACCTCGAGGCGAGTGCCATTCTTTTTTTTTTATTTCACAAGGTGGCAAACGAGCGAGCGGCCACCTGAAATCGCTGAAATAGCGAAGTGACCGTTGCCCATAGACATACGCAATTGCATATGCGTTGCCTACCTTTAATCGACGGAGGAGAGGATGCACAGAAAGAAAACATTTTCCCTTTCCATGCATCCTTTCATTCGAAATGTCCACTTCCACTTACCATCCTTTCCTATTTAGAGAAAAAGGGTAGGAAAGGAAAGAGGACAAAATTAGGCCTCCGGCACACTCATCAGACGAAACGCGGAATTGCTTCCACTTCACGCCTGTCTTCTTTGTGGTCGTGGTATTTCACCGGGCGAGCCGGGCCAATTCGTGCGAAGATGTTGAAGCGGGCTCTACCACTGTTAAAAATTCGGCTGTATTCTTAGTTGCATGACGCTTCCCCTCGTTCGCAGGGTCTAATTTAACAATCTCGTCAATCGTCTATGAATAATAGCCGAGTGATAGCCGTTGACAATGTGCTGACTTTATGAAAAAATAAAAAAAATGAAAACGAAAAGTGCTTAGTTCTGATATCATTTTTTTTTTCGAAAAGCAACAAAGATTGTTGTAATGTAGAAATCATCTATACATTTCATTGTTAGTATTATTTGACGGTAACTCATGTCGAGATACCAATAAAGCAAGAACTATGAGTTACTTCCTATGTGTAAATATAAAGATTAACAAAAAAATTATAAAAATTGAAAATTAAGGTTAAAAATATATGAATAGCTATTTTAATGTTGAAAACCAACGCCCACCTTGTAATGGTAATCGGTAGGCGTTTCCCAGCAATTAGAGTATAACTGAATCAATTTATAATGAGTACTTTGATGAACCTATTACCAAAACATCTTGAAATAAAATGACATACTTGTAATGTTTTTTTACCTCGCTATGTGTGAAATATTTTAAGTTAGTTAGTTTTTAAATTTATATAGTAAACGTTACATTTATCTTTAAGGAAATTTTAAATTAAAAAACTACAATAGCACTATTACCGCGAGACATATTGTCGTCCTTCTTTGAGGAAAATAGGGATAGCAAAATAAGTTTTAGCACATGTAGTTAGATATAACGACAATGGAAACGTATGGTATTGTTAATTTAATTTCGTCCACATGCGACGAGGCTACGGCTTCTTATTCAAGTATTTCATTATACGAACAGGTAGAACTTTCAATAAGCTTTCTCATGCAATGAAACACGAATCTCAGGGTTTGGTCATGATTAAATTTCTAGGAACTACTTCATTTTCCCCACTGGGAGAACTACGGTGAATCCTGGGATTTAATATAGCTCGTGCTTTCGCAGAAACATTTACCTGTATTTATTTAGTAGCTCGAATAAGTGACTACTAGAAACTCTGATGTGATAACGGTGTGACCGCCTGCACTTTCTTCCTAGTTTATATATTCGTTGTATATAATGTACAAGAAAATGACATTTCCCTTTGCTATATATACCCATCGCCCGCCAGCTCCATTTCCCCTTCCTATCCTTTCCGCAATTGAAATCAATACGTTGTTTTGACTATTCCAAATGCCTTTACATTGCGAACACGATTGAGTGTTACCTGAAATACGAGCATTGCATCAATATATACAGAATCGTATTCAGATACACTTCAAATTGTATAGTCTGTTAATTCACTACGGCGAGCATATCTCCGATTGGTTGGCTAATTAAATTTGTGCTTTGTAGTCTCTAGTTTCTTTTGTTGCTTATGTTGTGAGGACTTTGATATCACCGTTCATATCATGAGTTAATTATAATTAGAGGGACTTTTTTTATTATTTGCAAACATATATAGGTATATTATTATCTTTGTTTTATATGTATTATAAAGACAGGATTTGATTGTTTCACACGGATAGAAATCTATATACAAACATATAGGCTTATTAAATTTATTTAATTACGCGTGGACGGAGTCGCGGGCGATAGTTGGTCTCTCCTATATTAATGAGGAGACAATCTTAGCAAATGATGTACAATTTTATTTTTTTATCCGGATAGTCCAACTTAGCTTTGACGCTAGCTGTGTTTTGAAGTAAGAATGAAGCAGAAAGTACTTGTACCGGTATACTGAATACAAAATTGTGTGAATCATTCATGCGTTTTATTATCTGATTAATTTCACTTACCTTAAAGTGGATCAAATCGTAATTGATTCTTGTCATCAGTTTGTGTTTGTCTCGCACTCCGTAATTCATTTATTCACGTTGTCCACATGAACTTGAGTTAACTAGTCACGTAGTAAAGTAGTTCATTAAGTGCGCTTAAAGGTCAAAAAGAATATAAATAAAGAAAAAACAATTTAAGTCCAACATTAATTTCCATGAACGAAAGGAAAGTAAATTTAATTATAATTAGTCGACGTACCATCTAGATAAATTTAGTTAAATAAACATTGACTTAGGTTTTTCTTCATTGAGCTTGGAGTTGATGCAGAAGGCATACCCACTAGGGCTCTATACTAATAGATACCTATGTAACATCCTTCAAATGGGAAGTGCATCTCAAATCTAATAACAGGGCGTAGAGTGATAAAATTAGTGTTCTCACGTGAATGTAGGTCGTAGTGTACACTGCAGTCCTTGCTTTTTCAATTACGCGCGCCCCACTTCCGATGACATGACCTAAAAGTGATCGACATATGTCTTTACCAGAGAGGACATGTTTATGCAAAATATTCGACGAATTTCAATCGGCGATACCGTCGTCCCCTATACAGAGCAGTTTTGTTTTAACAAAACGACCTATGAAATCAATTTACCGCCAATTCGCAGTGACGACTCACAGAATGAGAATTATTACGAAACGTCATCGACAGAGGCCGTTTTTATCAAATGGTATTTCATTTCCCATCTGCGGTTTTTCACTGTCAGTAGACTTGTTACAAATATTATAAAAAAAATGTTTTAAAATAAAATGTTTATTGTGATTTAATTTTTTCCAACATTCAAAGTAAGGACAATATTATCATGTCAATGTTACCCGATATATCTTTCTGACCCGTCGTGGCAAGACTTCTTACATAGTCCCTTATAAAATAAAATAATTTTCACCGAGGTAAAGGATGTCCCCACTTCTTCACTGTATCGCCGATCGTCAATCTAGACTAGTTTCGCGAGTACGACGTCCCCTACGGACACTGTCACTCAATGTTTGCATTTAAATTGTTTTGTTCATTTTTTATTTCATTCGTGACGGATGCAATCACGAAAAATGGTTCTTGAAGTGATGCGGATAATTATAAACGTTTTTAGTTTTCAACGCAGTTAATTGCAATAATTTCGTATAATATAGCGTTATATTACCTATTACTTTTGATATTTTCTTTATTTACATATTCTAATAAAAGAGCGTCGATGCCCCAGTTGTAAGGCGCTTCATCGTGTCGGACAAAATCTACAGGTCCGGGTTCGATACTCGCCAATGTAATTTTGGATTTTCAATTTTCATATCACATTTATCCAAATTTCTTACGTTGAAAGAAAACATCTGCACATTTCTGCAATGAAAATCAAAGATATATGTGAAATAAACGAACTTTGAGCCAGTCTATTTCCTAGTCTAATTTAAGTACAAGGCCGATTTTAGTATTTGTGGCGCCTTGGGCGAGATTTTTGCGGCAGGCTCCTTTTTATATCCGACTCTGGCGCCCGTGCTGCCACCTTAAGCCCGGCGCCCTGGACCGTCGCCCCATCTCGCCGTACCCTACCGCCGCCCCATCTCGCCGTACCCTACCGCCGCTACTGTTTATGTACGCTTCGAGCCCCTCTGTGGTTATATATGAACTAGTAACGTAAAAAGATCAGAGAGATAATTATTTAAATTAAATCTTGTGAAATGTTGTCGAGTTCCATGATGGATATCGTTACTGCTCCTGCGTCGTTTTTAATAGCTTTATCCGGAATCGCTAATGGATTCGGTCGCTTAATGCGCTCGTTCCGACAGAATATTTCATTGACGTAAACAAGTATGAAATTTTGACAGCATTGAAACCAGGAGAAATATACGTGAGAGCGAACATGACGGCTGAAAATTGATAATTTAATTAAACTTCAGTTCAATCGCCGTCAACGAATTTCAGTTCGAACTTCTGTTGCTCGAAAATATATATTTAAAGTCAAAACAAATGAAAAAATAAGTCCTTATTATGATTATTATTGGGTTCCTTGAAAACAGTGCTAGCCACTTAGATTGTTTCCACCTTTGTCAAACTGATGTTCTTTTTTCAAATAACAATTTTAATGATACATATTTTTTCTCTATGGAACCCAGTATGGTTTAAATAAAAAAGAAATGTAATAGGGCAAGCAAAAAGTTTTAATGAAACGAAAAAAAAAACATTTTACATTTTACTTTCATTGGCGTCCTCAGAACATCGTACTATTTCATCGCCAATTAAAATGAGTCTAGTGCTTAGATAGACATGGCTTACAAATATACCAACATCGACTTTTTTTCTTTCACATAGATAAATAGAAGATACAATAAAAATATCTCGTTTTATATAAATTTCAGTTACACTGTCTAATTTCAAATGTAAAACGAGTTAATTATAGTCAATAATAATATTGGACAGCCAATAATTAAAGTAATATCGGAATATTAGAACGAATAATAGGTATTTGAACGTAGTTATTATTAGTATGTAGTTTAATATTTGAAATGGTTTACACGTACAGGCAGACGTAAGATGTTAGTGTGCAATGTGCACCTGTGTGAGTGCGAGGCTTGTGCAGGCCGAGTTTGAATTCACCCCAGTAGCTACATTGCATTTGCGAGTGTCCGGACGCTCCGCTCTTAGCTGCAAACGCAAATCGACCACATCTGTTATCCGGTAACTTTGATTCGTATTAGTTTCACGGCAAATTTCCCACCACCATATTAATTAATCACAGTAGTTTTTAATCGATCTCTGCATTATTTTTACACGTAAAATTTATTTTCTTTATGTCGCACGTATTATTAATACATAATTGAATGTATGTAAATGTGAGTTATTTTAAATTACGGCTCCAAATATTATAAAAATAAGTTTTCGGTAATTAGATATTAAAATATTTTATTATTATAATATAATAATTATCATTGGGATTTTCTTTGTTCGATTATTTGAAATATTTTACCGAGTACTATATTTTACGGTTTTTAAACAGAAATTTCTATCAACTTTTAAAAAAAAATTTCATATCGTCCGCGTACGGCAAAGTTAGTGAACGAAGAAAACTTTAATCGCTATCAAGACGGGCTCGTAAGTATAACACAATTTCTTCACACAAATGATTAGTTCTAGTCTTACCTTTCATGTTAACTCAACTTTTAATTATTTTAACTTTATAAACTACACCGTGAAATGTTAAGTAACGTTTTTTTTTTTCATTTTAAAAATAATAACAATTTTCATTGCAAATAAGTTCGAATCTTCTTGGATGTTTAACGACAATAGAATATCCCTATTCGAATCCGTACTATTGATCGGTAATCCGTACTCTTGACCATTGAGCTATTGGCGCTACAAAGTTCCAAGTAACATATTTTACATGGAAATTTTGCGAACTGTTCTTTGATGAATTTGAATAAAAATTGTGTCTCCGAATATACCGCCGTGTATAATCTAGTTCCAATCAAAACCGGTGGTTCGAAAAATCCTCAAAGTCAAAAATCATTAAAACGATATGGCTTTTTCCGATACGAATTTGAAAAGGCTATGCTTGGGACTTAATTAAATAGAGGAACAGGAAAAATATTTTTAAATTCTATTGAAGCCAAAGGTCTAATTAGGTTTTAACAACTCCATAAACAATTCCGACATTTGTAGTAAAACCTTCGGGAGGTAAATAAATTATTAGATGAAATAATTTTTATTATTTGGATCCGTAATGAAAAATATTCTCGTATTATCGAAATGTTTGTGATGTCTGACAATTGAATCAATGTCGTAGTAAAACGTAGGTTTATTATACAATATGTGTGCTTTATTATTTGTAATCAATGTATGTATATTTGTAATTAATGTTATGCAGTAATTACATACGGCGTGGTATAAAGTGTTAGTAGAATTTTCATCGGAATCTTATTCTACGTAATGTCGTATTCTACGTTATTTCCTATAGTCCGCAGGCAACGATGTGTCGTTTTATATGTTTAAAGCTGTTCTGGAAATGGGCTCAATGCTACGGTTGCTTAGGATAAAAGCTCCATTCAATATCTGTTATGATGGAGCTGTGATCCTTGCTGCTACAGTTGTGAACATGGTAATACTACCTTATGGTTATGTTCATATTAACATTAAATATGTAATTTTCTACAACACTCTGTATAAATCTGCCGCAGAGTCAGGTTTGATAAATCACTGTGGTAGCGCCTTAGTGATTTAACAAATTTGTCTGACTTTGCGGCTTATGGATTTATTTAACGACTCGTGAGTTAATACAGGCAAATTAATGTACAAAAAATATTTTGTTTCCTACGTGTAATTGCAGAGTTGCGATGGAGGTTCAATGTGTCTGGAGTTAGCATTGGAAGGGGAGAGACTTTGCAAGGCGGGAGACTGCCGCGCCGGCGTCGCTTTCTTCCAGGCCGCCATAAGAGCGGGCACAGACGACCTGCGTACCCTCAGTGCTATATACAGCCAACTCGGCAATGCCTATTTTTATTTAGGCGACTATAACAAAGCGATGCAGTTTCACAAACACGATCTCACTTTAGCTAGGTAATTATAATACTTACGGAAAGTAAATGTATCTTTCCACTGTCGAAATACATGTACAGTAACATATTCTCTTTGAAAACAGAGACAATTATATGTTTTTAATGAATAAAATAATTTTTATCGTAGTGGAAATCAACGTTAAGATTTTTGTACTGATTTTGTGTCATAATTTTTTTGAATTATCAATATAGCTAATAATTGAACACATAAAGAACTTTAATAATGATGTTTTTTTATTATTGTAACTTCTTGTTACTTGTTATCGTTGAGTATAGGTACTTCAATTAATTTTCTTACAAGAACCTTTTCTTTGCCTTTAATAAACCTCCTCGGCCGTCGGGAATCGTTTCATATTTCAGTAGAAAATGAAGTCAACAACGTATTTATTGGAAATGTTTTTCAAGTAATATAACAAACAACATAACATCAATAATGGCTAAATTATTATTTATATACTCGTTGTTTGTTGAATTGAATATTTTGGTAATCAATTAAAACACATAATTACTGTTTATAGTGTGTCTATTTAAGATAGATTAGTTTGACAACTGACGCCTATAAAATATTGAATTAATTTTGTATGAGCATTATCGATGTACTTAATGAACGGTTGTCAAAGTGTCGAACGGTCGCGCACAACGAATAACTGTGACCTATCGAAAATCGGTCTTGTAATAACTTACTTACTACTTACTCCGCTGGCGCATCGACCCAAAGTGGGTCTTGCCCTCCGACACAAAGTCGCCTGTCTTGCGCCTTCTACTGCCAGTCCATCGCATCCAGTCAGTCTTGTAATAAAATTAACTAAAATTTAGGTGTTTTGTTACTTTTTGAATTGATTGCAGTTATTTAGCCAAATATATGTATCGCGCAATTAATTAATTAAAAACTTTTTTGTTCGTCAGCAGCGCAATTTTTGGTTTAATGTCTTATTTCTTTATATACTTATGATGGATAAAGTAGGAATAGAAAGAAACAATTTTAGTTATATTGTAATTCAAAGTCAATAATCACGAAATTTTCGATTGCAAGTTCTATTAGAATTAGAACAACCATCGAAAATCGAAAAAAATCTTAATCGATTTTACTCAAGCCATATCTAGTGAATTGTCAATTGAATGTTCAAACTAATCTATCTTAAATAGACACACTATAGCCTTAATTATCTTCAATGAATTAATTTATAATTAAATATTAATGTAAATTAAACTATTAAATCCATTGTGCAGAGCTTTCAAAGTTCTCACTTATGAAGTTTATTAGAATTTTCAAAGCATATCACGAACTAGTGGACTATGACTAGTGTATCAAAAATCCTTTCTAGCTGCCGCTCTACGCTCAACTTTAGATACACCGAAGTTAATATAACTTTTACAAACTTTTACACTGGCTAAAATTTATTTTAACAATCCCTCTAGAAAATAAATAGCAAAATTATGTATCAGTTTTCTTTGTTAGCTATTATTTGAATAGCTATAACTTACCTAGAACAGTAGACAAAGGCAAGGAATGTATTTCATAAACCTTTATGAAATGTTGAAATATGAAAATGAATTTCGACCTCTATTTTCGAATATAATTCTGGACTTTATCACAGTAAGATGCGCTCTAAAATTGTTTTAGTCTGTTTTAGTATGACCATTGTTATTCGTTATATTATTAAAAGGTTAATCATACCCTCATCTTATTCAACGGCGCTATTCAATTTAATAAAAAAATCCTCGTTTCTTGAAAACCAAATAAAACATCACAATTGTAATATTCTCATATAATTACGTAAAATCTGTGTTCCCATTTTAATGAAATTTTTATTTACAGAACGATAAATGACAAACTAGGTGAAGCGAAAGCGTCAGGTAATTTAGGCAATACTTTAAAAGTTATGGGAAAATTTCCCGAGGCGATACAATGTTGTAAACGTCACTTAGAAATATCCCGGTCTTTGGGCGACAAGCTAAGTGAGGGGCGGGCTCTTTATAACTTGGGTAACGTATACCACGCACAAGGTAAAAATCTCGGCCGCGTCGGTCAAAACGATCCTGGTCATTTCCCCCAGGAGGTACGGGAATGTCTCATGCAAGCAGTCACATACTACGAGTAAGTACTTATTTCATTTATTTTTACAATATATTTTTAATCAACAAGGTGTGCAGTGTGAATTAATAAGTAATATGAAAAAAATTAATATTAATTTCTGCTAAGGGCAACAAAAAGAATATTGCAATAATGAATAAAAGCATTTATCGGCGCCACGTTTAACGTAAATTTGCTAAAATGTTTTTCCATCGTTTCCAAGTAAAATTTATAAATTAAAAATCTGCCTTTGAGTTGTTTGAGCTGAAATTTATTAAAATTCATACGGTTCACTATCATGTGTTATGTTGTATCAAAATAAATTCATTATATTTTGGTGAATTCTATTTTAAATTTTTTCGTGGTAAACATTTTAATATCGAGTTGTTCGTGATGCAACCTGCACATATCCGAGAAGAAATTCAAGTGAAGTCAACCAACCCGCACTTGGCCAGCGTGGTTGACTATGGCCTAATCACCCTTAATTTAGGGTAGGCTCCGAGCCCCTCGGTGGGAACGTATAGTGAGCTGATGATGATGAGTTGTTCAAAAATATGAGATTTATAACTTGGGTAGTATTAATGTGTAACATGATATTGTTTTGTTTTAATAAATTTACTTTAGCGTATTGTATTTTAGGTTAATCAGTGAAGTGAAACCGTAATTTGCTAATGCTTTTCGGAATATCACAGCGATGTGTCAGTTGTATTTTGTGTCTACGTAAACAAATTTAGAGCTGACCCGTTTCTGCTACAAATAGAACTATTTCCATAATCACTTAACATTCTAGATCTAGAACAATTGGCAAAACAGTCCCGAAATGTTCTTGAATTCACAATTATCTTAAAAGGTTTATGAATAATCGAGATTAAGTGTTTGATAAATTCCACGAATGAACAAAAATAATTTATATAAGATGAATAAAATTTAGAATTAAAAAAAAAGTTTGATATATCTGTAAACTGCTAATATTTAGTAGTACAGATTTACTGCACTACCAAATAATCGCTAGTGTGTATTAGAATCGTTAGTAGGAATGCAAGCAAATAGCTACAGTTCGCATCGCTCATCGGAAACGTTTAACTGGGATGCAAACGGAAATCGAATACCATTCCACTTGATTTCCAAAGCGTCGCATAATCCAAATAATAAAGATGTTCAACGGTTCCTAGGTCATTCTTGAGTTATTGAATTTCTTATTTTATAAAGGAAATATAAAAGCACTGCTATAATATAATAAATTTTTCTAAAGTGCTCTTAGAGTAACCTAAATTAAATTATAGCGATGCAATATACGACACTAGCTTTTGCCAGCGGCTCCGTCCGCGCGGTATTAAAAGAAAAAAACTTATGTTTTCTTCTAGACTATGTACTTAATCTATGCCTTTCAGCAAGATGCGCTGAGCTGTTCTAGAGATACCTTCTAACAAACATTCATCCAAACACACGCTTTAATAATATTAGGAAGAGTTAAAGAATAGTGATGTGATTATTTTAGCTCAAGTTTGTCAAATTGATTTTATCATTGCTGAAAAATTTATATTTTTAAACTGTGCAGGATTCTTATATTTTGAGAAACGAAAAAACACGACGAGCGTTTTGGACTGTATAAAATTAAAACTAAACTTTAAAATTAATTGGATTAGTTCTTAATGTGTTTGAATACTTTGTAGCAATATCATTTTTGTTCCAGAGAAAATCTCGATCTAATGCGCAGTTTAGGAGACCGACAAGCGATGGGTCGCGCTTGCGGAAATCTTGGCAACACATGTTATTTACTGGGTGATTTTACTCGCGCCATCCGATACCACACAGAGAGGCTGACAATAGCAAGAGAAGTCGGCGACAAGGCGGCCGAGCGGCGGGCTAACAGCAACCTGGGCAATTCACACATATTCCTGGGACAATTTGAAAACGCGGCGGAACATTATAAGTAAGTGCAATTCTTATTCAATTACGTAGTAGAAAAATGAATACTGAATTTACTTTGTTAACATCAGCTCTTTAGTTGGCACATCCGGCGGAAGAGTACTCTGATTCACAGCGTGCCAAATCGAATATCTTACTTTATGTTAACCCACAAATTCTTTGACGAAGTTTTTATTTGTTTTAGAAGTTAATTGAGTTGTATTTTAATTGTGAAAAATGCTTGCATTTAAAATGATGTTTAAGAATATTTTGTAGCGCTTTCATTATCCACCTTTCCAGTATTTGTTTATAAGTACCATACAATATTAATTGACTTTGACTTAGTAGGAATACCTTCATTAACGCTGTGTCGATGCTAAGCGAAGTATTCATGGTGCGCTGAAATTAAATCTTTGACAAAAGATTTTCTTACTTTATGATTAAAATATTTTATTGATATAATATAATCAATAATATTTTCTAATTCATCCATACTTTAAAATCGAGTATTTTAATGCTTGCGTTTGTTTAATTTCATTTTGAACTGTGCTCAAGCGAAAATTGGATTTTATCAACGCTATCGTCTTTACCATACTGAATGCAAATTCTTTTAAACTATTGTTCTCATTTTTATTGCTCTTCGCGACCTCGTGCGTAACCATAGATATATCCAACTGGCTAATAAAATAAAGAAGTGTAGCCTTTCTTTAATGAAAGGAGGAGGGGATGTATAGCAAAAATGATATTCACTTCTACCATTTATCCTCTCCTCCGGACAGGGTGGAAAGAGAAGGTCCAGAATTATAATATGTCTCTGACAACTCACTCATCGATCAACATCTAATGTCCATACTGCATGTCTGTCTTCTGTAACATGGATTTCACCGACCGTTCATGCAGACAACAAATTTTGTTAGCTGCTTATAACACAGTAACATATAATCTCATTGAATTATTTACTGATTAAAATTATGTTTACTTATATGCGAAATATATTGAAATGGCTTTTTATGTTAAGTGGCTAGTGCTATCCATTTAAGAGTATAAACAACGAAATGATTTAAGAAAAAAAGGAAAGTAAGGGAAGAGTAGATAACGTACCTAGTTTTCTTCGCTAGCGTTTTGATGCACCGCAATTTTGGTTTCTCTAATTTTTAACTATAACTTTTAAATTTATTCTATGTGAACTTCATTCAGTTGTTCATTGATAACCATTGTTACGATATGATTGTTATCCACAAGTCCAACAACTAATTAAAATACATTGTTTGTAAACTATAGTTAGGAAAACTTTGCGTTTACTTTCTGGTCGATGTTTAACGAGTACATGTTGTGAATTTTTTATTTGGTATGGTTGACAACATACTATTATACTCAGCAACAAACTACTAAAACTTTTACAAGTCTGTGCCATTTCACGGTAAACTATTATTGATTGCCGTTATTTTCCTTCATGTGGCTGTTGAATACAAAGAAAGTATCTATAATTTACTTTTTTTTTAATATGTTTTTTCTTAAGTATTTTAATTGTCAACTATTCGTTTATATAATTTAGTTAATATTTAACTAAACTACCAAAAAGTTTTAGCTCCAGAAGATTTCGTTTATAAGTTTTCGAACAGAAGCTATTCGCTATGTAATTTAATTTGCCAAGTGGCAAAACATTTTTAAACGTACATATTTCTATTTATTTGCATATGTAATTTTGGTTTTATGTATCGATGGCAAATGGCATTATTGATATATGCGAATTAAAAATAACGTTATGTTAAATAAATCAAAATTGTATTTTATCATATTTTATTTGCGCTACGCGTGTTGGTACGGAAAACTGTTATGCCGGAACTTCATATTACAAAAGTTATCGTTATGTTCCAACACACCTGTATGTCGGTCTGTACGTCTATTTCTTCAGAAATAAAGTAACTTGCCTCGGCGGTACATATAAAGTTTCTGTGCTTTTCTTTAACTTACTTTAATATGATTTAACTTATTTTCATTGTTCTACAGGCGTACCCTGGCTTTGGCCGAGGAACTAGGTGATGCTGCAGTGGAAGCCCAGGCTTGTTACTCATTGGGCAACACTTACACATTGCTACGCGAGTACAGAATAGCAGAAGGTTACCATGCTCGCCATCTTGCCGCCGCTAGAAAACTACAAGACAGAGTGGGCGAAGGCAGGGCTTGCTGGTCCTTGGGCAACGCCCACGCCGCGCTCGGGAATCACGAAAAAGCTTTGTATTACGCTAAGGAACATTACAATATATCCAAAGAGGTTTGTACAGGGTTTATCGGTTTGGCTACATCATTTAAAACTAACACATTATCACATTGCTATACTAACATCGGTTTCGGGAAGATATAGCACTAAAATTATAACCACAGGTACGTATTATTTAATTTGCTACTGGCAACTAATGCGTTTATTTCCAGAACAGTACGCGTTTAAAGTCTTTTTAAGTCTCGCGTTCTAAAATCTGGTAATCATAAAATTACTAGATTGCATAAAATGGTTTTTGATACGATATCCGTGTACTTTATGTAGTGAAATAATTTTAACGTAATATCAATGTTGTGAAATTTAGGCGTGCATGGATGTTTGCTTGCTGCTTTTAAGCTTTTTGTCTCACTGTTTGCATCATTAAAAAAAATTGTTGTAGTAAAATTCCTGTGCCAAAACAATAAACATGTCGTCCTCTTGTTTCCAAAAACAGGACGACAATATGTTTTTGTACCACCGTTTGGGCAGTTGAACCACGGTTAAATTTTTCATTTGCAGTTTGATTTCTCCTTTTGTAATATTTGTTTTTTTTTAATGGGATTATCGTAATTGCTAAATATATGAAGCTGTTTAAATTACACACAGGTTATTTTTGTTGACAGACTTTATAATTATAATAGGTATGACCAAAGTTATTAAGCTAATGGACCCTTTGATGTTGACGATCTCCGGGAGGGATATCAGCGAACCGATAATGGATCTATAAATAGTTTTCATTATGAAACCTGGATTGTACAGAATAACTTATCAAAAATTTATAGCTCAGCCTAAAACTAGATAACTGTTTAAAATATACCCTAAATAATAAGTTGTGTTGCTTTAAAATTTGTAATATTTATAGTAGCTTTTGACTTCGTTCGCGCGGATTCAAAAAAAGAACTTAGTGAGTAGTCTGTGTTCTTTCAGACTATTTTTTATATCTATGTAAAATTTCAGCAGGATCTAATTAACTGTTCTTAAGTGATGTAATAAGAAACATCCATCCATCCATCCATCTAAACTTTCAAATTTATAACTTTAATATTATTGAGATTGTAACCTCTATTAGTTGACTCTACTACATTTGGCCTCATGAGACTGAGTTGCTACAAATTGTAAAATGTTGAAATGAAACCAATCTAGTCGACCTTTGGCATTTTTTTTCCGATGTATTTTAGTTGAGAAATAGGCACTCACATTTAAACATTTCTCTGATGAACATCTATTTTCGGTACAATGTTATATTTTCTTTTTAATATATTGGATATTTTAATATTTAATGAATGTAGTCCGGAATTATCAGGTAGTTAAATTGTTCTCGATTGAAATAACCGAACTGTTTAATTAAATTAAAGCACATTAGAAACTAAAGTTTTTATTAAATGGAAGGTCTGATTGATGAGAGAATTGAGATCTGTTCAATTGCGACTTCCTTCATAGTAGCCGTTCGCACGGATATTTGTAATTAATGAGGTTTCGATATGTTTCAAACGTTTTCTATACACTATTCATGCATTTCATACATTTATATTTTGTATACCGCGGAATCGTTTCTATTTACTGGGGTGCTTTATTCTTTTTAACCGTGGATTTACACTGCCGAAACATGACCTGGATTTGATAATTATTTTAAAAGCAGTCATATTTATCGAGTCTGTGAACTATTTCAGCAAATGGAATTGCTTACTAACTTTGATTTCAAAAAGCAGTTTGAATTGAAATGGACGACGTCTAGAAATATGAATTTTTAATGGGTTGCCTCGAGCTGAAGCACTATTCGTGATCGCGGCCTATTTTTTTTTGTTGACTTGACCGAATACAGCGCTAAATTGTAACTTCCAATCATTTTGACGATATAATTCATGGAAAAAACATCGCTTCCATAGGTTTTTCCTTTAGCCAGGGTAATTGCTACCCTTTCAGAATCCATTGTCTAAGATAGTACTCGTTTTAATACATTAGAAACAGTTGAGGTTTACTTACATATCGAATTGCTTCGACATTTCGTGCAATGCTATCTTTATGCAAACTACAGATAGTTGACATTTTTGTAAATTGCCACGATAGTTAAGGGGACTTCTTTTTACGTTAATATTTTGATGGGACAATGAAGACACTTTGTTTTGACTTGTGGCGCAGGTTACCAACGGAATTCGCCTTTATTTTTGATGATCATTTTCAACTATACAAAGCAACTTTCGACAAATCATCAACATTTAATAACTTTGTTTTTAGTAAAAGGCTAATTTTTCCGACTTCTGGGTAACTCTCCACCAATATTTTAATCCAAAAGACTTTTAAAGGGAGATTAAGTTAAGACAAGAAGCAATTTTGGATAAATAAAATTAACCAGATCATAAATTAACAAAAATGTATGTTCGTGAATAATTTGATAGAAATTTAATATGAAACGCTGCAATAGTAAATTTATTTATTTTTTCTGTCCATAGTTGGGTGATATTTTGGGAATGGCTACCGCACAGATGAACGTTGGTGATCTGAAGAAGGTGTTGGGCATGCCCGAAGAGAGCCCGGAGACGGAGAACGGGGGCGAGGTGGCCGCTGCAGCAGCCACTGTCTCTGCCACTGCGACCGCTCCGCCAGCTCCCGCGACGTCGAAGGTATCTCATTCTAAGATGGTAGGCATCTTCAACGCTCTGCGCGTGCGCCGTCAGAGTATGGAGCAGCTCGCGTTAATTCAAGTAATTATAATATTATTTTTGAATCCCTTTCAAAATTTAATTAAGTTTATATTTTGTTGATTATAGTAAAGATTTGTTTTTTTTTTAAGTTGTACCCTTCTTGTGTTTCGGTATCTTTTTATTTTACATACTTGGTTAATAATTTAAGCACTTTGATTCTTTTTTTTTCTTACAGATTTGTGCATTTTTATCTGTTTTACTTTTATTTTATCCTCATCCCCTAGGAACATACTAGTTTTTTTTTATTTTTATATTTATTTTGAATACAAATAAACATACATTTAACGCTAAATAAACCTCATTGGTTTGGTACAAGCGTTAAGGTCTTCCGGACAAAAATATTATGAGCTTGCACTTTATGTTTTGTCGTGAAATACATTTTATCAAATCTGAGGGTAGTTCGTTCACCAATCTAGGAACGATGTAACTTGCAGTGCGCTCACCGTATACATTTTTTGCGCCGACGGTACGAAACTGGTTTAGAGTTATCGCCCGCGTGCCTACAGGATGTTCAATTTTTGATAAAATACTTTCATTAAAAAATATTGTTTGAAATCGCGCTAATATTTTCTAGACGTAAATACAAACATATTTTAGTAGGAAATTATCTCGAAGTGGTAGGATAGGATAGGTAGGTCGCTTCTCCTGTGATCTCTATCACAACTAGTTAGCCGCAGTATTTCTTGGGGGATAAAAGGTCAAAGTCAATATAAAAATTCAGTTGACGCCTGATACAAAGAAAAATGATGAAGAAAAAGGGGATGAAAGGTCCAGGAAGTCTAAAGTAGCGCAGGCAGGTTGTGAGGATAATCCTTCGGAGTCGTTCTTCGAGATGCTGAGCCGCTGTCAGTCGCAGCGCATGGACGGACAGCGGGCTGCGCTGAACTCGAGGGTCAAGAAGCTGCTGCGGTCTGCCAGCAGCGGCGACAAGAACTTAAGGTAAGCAGCTTCCATCTCATTTGTCGGAGTTAGAGCTAGTCGAGCTGTCACTCACCCTTGACATTGTTTAAAGTAATACCTAAACTTTGCATATTTTTGCACAAGTTCGTTGCATATGATATACATATTTTCAACGTATATTTACTTCTGCCTATACACTGGCATAGCTTTTTGCTTATTCTATGCCTCGCTAATTTAGTTTCTTAATCTGAAAAATGACATAAACGCATCTACAAGAAACGTAAAAATATTGTTCTTTTTTATTTAAATAAAAAAATAACAAATTAATTTTAATATTTTCAATTTTAACGAGCCATTGCTAACCTTGATAAAGTCTAAAAACAAGTGTGTTAGCGTCAATATTACAATAGTTTTCCACTGGAACACTCACATAAAGACATGTCGTCATCCCTCTCATACACCTTTAATAAACAGACATAACAAAATGTTCTTATACAAATGATTTGGCAGTGGAAACTCGGGGTTATCAGTAATAAGGTGCGCGTGACTGGCGCGATACCGCTATCGTGACGTAGTCGTAACACTCGAGATTTATATCCGAGCACAGAAAGTTTTCCAACTACACAACTCATGAAACTGTGTTTTATAAGTCTATACGAACTACTAAAACACTACGACGCTTCGTTTACAGTGAAAAATTGACGTATGAAGGTTGTTACATCCTTGTCACTAGTTTTTGAGTGATTCTGTACCGAAAAAAAACTGCTTTAAATTAATTTATTGACTAATATCAAGAACTTCAATAAAATTCCAAGTAACTGAGAACTAATATCGGTTTAATTTAATTGGCAAACTCTAACAAGTTCAAATTTCCTTATAACCGATCTGGTAGCAAATATTTAACAACATTAATAACTTTGAAGCTATTTTATAGATGAGATATCGGGGTGAATTTCTCAATGTAAACTCATGTTCAACGAGTTTCTACGTTAACTTGTTGCGCAAAGCTTTGATTGCTGTTCCAGAGATCAGAGAATTAATTTTCATGTTACAACCAGATATTGGTAGACGTAATATTCTCCTTTGTGCAGCTTCGATGTTATGAGCAGATTGAATGGTTTGATTGACAATGCAGAACGTGGCTTAATAATTTACGGTTCACTGCATCTTGCAAACAATAGACAGACAAATCTATGTATTATAATATCTAATTATGAAGTCGTCTAATAATAGCGAAAGCTTATTGTGGCCTTTTGGACAATCTTGGTGATAAAATAAAAATTGAAGATTTAATTCATTAAAACGAGAGTTAATTTTTGATGTCGAAATGTACGGTTTTAAGTGGAGTTTCGACTAATTGATGAATTATTTTTTAAAGCTGAAGTATTCGTAATTATTAACCAGCTTATAAGTAAACCTATAAAAAATAAATTTTACCGTTTAGTAAGCAATTTATCATCACCATATCACGTAGTTTGTCTATTAAATGTGCGTAATGCAGTGATTTTGTATTGTCATTCATAAAACATATTTAATCGATACATAAATCTATTTCCTTGTACACGGTATAATTCGTCCTCGTCCCGTCAATTTGGACGTTATAAATTCATGAAGTCTAAAACGATTTTCAGCAATGAAGTTACTGTGTATTAGGGATGGGTATTGATTCAAAAAACTAGTTGATTCAACCATCGTTAGTCGTTCAACGTTTTAACCGTTAACCGTTTTTCATTTAACTAGTTGAATTGAACGAACGAACCTTGCTGGTCGTATTTTTTGCCAGTCTTTAGATTTTTTTATTGAATGTATCATTAACTATTTGCATTCTAATTGTCTACTAGTTAATGGACTAGTTGAAAAAAATAACATTTCGTTTCGTTGACGCCTTAAACCATCAACGAGCCCATACCTACTCTGTACATTGAGGTTTTGGGCTACAACGCTAAAATATTATCAAAATTGTCTGTAAAATTCCAAGTAAAATGCTTTTGTGATTTTCTAGTTTGAACGTATTATAACGTGTAATTTATTCACGGTTAAGGGTTTAGATTGGAACCAAGTGTAGACGTTTATATATATTTAGCATACTTAAAATAATTTGTTGGATATTTTAGTTGACAAAATTTTCAATTTTTGTAAACGTGTTAATTTTTTTCCACGTTTCCAACGTTCTGTTGTGGACAGGCCTTTGTATCAAAGCGTACACGGTGTCGACGCGTTGTTGCGGATAAAAATCTTTTGCTGTTTCGAAGCAGCGCCGATCAAAAGCACTCATTGTTTAGTTCACAGTGTTACAGTGCAAACAGATATGAGATCGCTACAGGACGAAAAAATACCGTGTGTATAATTAATTTATTACACGATTAATTTTATGAGTAATTTCTTACGTGTATAATTTTTTTGTAATATTAAGGTTAAATATATTTAATTAAGTTTAAGTAAATTATCGCTGTTTTTTGGTAGTGCGTAACTATATGTAGTTACATTGAGTTTACAAAGATAATTAGGTAGATTATTTACTTTAGTATTCTCTTAGCAATTCAAATAAAAATATTCGCTCGATGTTATCTATTTAATACAAGTCATGGATCTATTTTTATTATCGTCAATTTTATTGATAAAGATAATAGCTGTTTATTGGCATTCAAGTTTTTTTTCTAATTTTATATTCCGACATAGATTACAAAGATCTGAAGTTTTTGGAGACTTGAGATTTAATGAAATTGTTGTGAAGTAATAGTGAAACAATTTATTATTCTTCTTTGATCATAATAAATTTATTTAGAATATCTAAAGAAATTAAAAAAAAAAAGTGATTATAGTAAATTCTAAGTTATTTGTCTAATAACACTTACATTAACAATTAGTCAACGTCTGAGGTATCTTTCTAGAAATTCTCGTCATAATGTCTTTTAGAACAGAGGTGAAACTTTTTTTTATCCTAAAACTAGGCAAAGAACCAAAGGAAATTTTATTAACTTAGCCTATGATATTCTAATGACGATTCAGTATCGATTGGTCATAGTCTCCTACCAATGTGTAAAAAAATGAAACTTCGCTTTCATATATTAAGAAACTTACATCTACGTAGCTGTTATTGGTCGAGGTCACTAATATTAGTGCTATAAATATTATTTTATTGGTTCTGAACGATGGGTTATTGTGAGTGCATCATCTAAATCTCAATTGGAGTACTTACATTACTTAGTATTTTAATATAATATGTGATAAAAATACATTAGTGTAATTATGTGTACGGTAAGTATTGAGCTTTACTTGAGTTTTTTTTGTAAGATTTTTCGGGTTATGACTTTAAATATTAACAGACCATCTCACCTACAGCTTGTCTTATTCAAAATTATCTTTTTCACGGAAATAAAGAAATTTTAAATCTCGATTCGAATCCCAAGGGAAAATAATATTAAATCCGCAGAACTGCCACAGAGTATACATCGGATGGCATCGGATTGACGCATAATATTTAACGACATTATAAATGCTTGTAACAAACTGCGTCTCGTGAGGCATTTTCTTAAGAATCGTTTCAGATGTACATTTCAAAATTGCTGTATTCATACATAACGTTACAAAATATATCTCTACAGCCCCGACGAGGAGTTATTCGCGTTAATAACGGACATGCAGTCGGAGAGAATGGACTCCCAGCGCGCGGAGCTCCGCCCCCTGCCGAAGACGCCGGCCAAGGAGAACAAGGGCGCCTCACTGCCGGGCCTGCGCCCCCAGCAGACCACCAGCACGAAGCCGGAGGATGATTTTCTCGAAATGATCGCCCGCTTCCAGGTAAAGTAAAAATAAACTTAAGTGAAACTGCTAGAATCAGCGCGTTTAATTAAAAACAATATAACTTCAACAAACATGTCTTTCTCCTTGATGTGTTTCCTCATAAACACTACTACTAATAACCCATTTGTTGTAGGGCTCTCGTCTGGAGGACCAGCGAACTGAGCTGCCGCGCCGTCAGCCGGAGCCCACGCCGGCGCCGCAGGCCGCGGCCGAGCGGAAGCCCGAGGTAAAGCCAGAGGCAAAGCCCGAGCCTGTGCCCGAGGCAATAGCCGAGGCGAAGCCCGAAAAAGCCAAGACAGTCCCTGACGACGACTTTTTCTCCTTGATCATACGCGCACAATCTGGTCGTATGGAGGACCAGCGTGCTTCGGTAAATCAAATCAATACGTACATTTGTACTAACACTAATAATAACTAATAAATGTACTAACCTTAATTGTTTATATTTATCTATATAAATATAATGTAGTTCTAAAGTTTGTTTGTCGCGCTTACCAAGGAATTTAGTAATCGGATTTCAAAAATTGTGTACGCATTATCAAGGTATGTTATTATAATACAATTTAATTAATATACAACTATGGCCGTCGATGAGTAGAGAGAAGGAAAAATATAGCAAAGCGAGGTACAGCTAATATTACTATATAAAATAACTTTTTACACAATTAACATATTAATATGTTCAACTAAAATTCTTGCATTCGATATGTTGCGAGTTACAAGCTTTTTACTACTAAAAGCAAATTGCGAACGGATTTTTTGTACTTAATTTTTCTCTACTTCAAAGGTATAACAAAGCGAATTATTCGACAACTCCAAAAATGCTTTGTTGACTTATGCTGCCAAGGCACTTGTACTAGAACGTATTGTAGACTGCCATTTGTGGCCTTTAGCCGACTCTATATCACGTATTTATGAAAATAAATATGATCATAGATATATCATTTCAATATCACAAATAACTATCTACAAACTTTTTAAGCACTTGAGAATTTCTAACTTTCACGTAGTTTGAAGTCTGATAGTTTGCGAATTTTTAAAACTTTTAACAAGTTTATACCTTTAGCTTACATGTTTTATCAGAAACTTACTGAGCGATTGGTTTTCATATAATAACAACGTATATTCATAATTTGTTTATGCTATTTCAGATACCGGTGAACAACCGCACCAAGGGCGACTCCGGTTCGAAGAAGTAAACGATTACGTTTACGACCCGCAGAGCCGTGCTTTAAGCTTCATAGAGTTAGATGAACCAAGTAGGGTTCTTGCGCAAGCCAGGCTCAATGCGGGAACACCCTGTAGTACTCCGCTTTAATGCTATCCCTGAAACTGAATTAAAAACATTTGATACCAAAATTATAAATGTTTACTTCGCTATTTGTCACCTTTGGCTTTTGAAACTTTACAGCCTAACATAGAGAATAACGTAACGAAATAAGAACTATTCGTTCAATAAATGTCATCTACTGTAGCGAAGTAACATTCAGTTTACTTATAACCGTGAGTTCCCACTGACTAAACATCTGTATAAAACATTATCAATATTCTCATTTATACTGAGATAAAATGTTTTGTACCGCAGTGGAAACTTACGGTATATGTTCATGTCAGGGAACATTCCGCGCTTAATCACGATTAACGAATATATTATTTGATACATCGACTTGACATTTATATCGATAATATGCGATACGTACTATTGAAAATTATAACAAATCAAGCGATTATTTCATATTATATTTGTTATATCGAGCATTTAAATAGATGATTTGATGCAATATTGATCATTTCATAATGCCCTAAATGTATGCCGGCTAAAAATCAACTGAAAGATCGAGTCTAAGATGGATTTATCTTGATTTTTTAATTTATTTAAAAATTATGAAATTGGCCCATACAATATTCTATTTAAAATTTCTGACTAATAAGTTAAATCATCAAGTTTATCTATTAAATGTTAGTGAGCGAAATTCCATGAATTCAATACCCACCTTTAAAAGTCTCTATATTAATTATAATTTATTTACAATTAGCCCGCCATTAAAACAAGAATTGTGTTAATTTTCTATTTTGTGTTACTATACCATTTAAACTAGTCAAATCCGTTAAACATATTTTTCTATGGTATATTGGTTGTCAAGTTACAATTTTTTAAAATGATGAATCAATATTTCAGGACACTCGTCTATTTCCGCACAAAAATACGACTGTGTAAATCAAAAAGACTTGCATTCGTTGAATTTATTTTTTTAAATGCATATGATTTTATAACTTAACATATTCTATTTATTTTAATTCATTTTACTAATAAAATATAATTTATAAGATTATTTTAAGTGTTTATTTTAAGGCTGATATTGAGATATAAAATAATGGAATCTTGCTAACAAAATGAATAAGAAAAATGTTTTTAATATTTCAGTTCGTTTTAGCACAAACTTGAGGTTGTACACTCAACAGGATAAAAAGGTGCATATTTGATTAGTTTTAAATAATTTAAAATATATTATTTTAACTGAATTTTCACTGTATAATTGTATAATATTGTTTAATAAGCGTACTAGAAGTGATTTAGAGAGATGTTTTCGAATGACAGATATGAACTTAAAAATGACGAGACAATTTGTAAATAAAATTCTATATACGACTTTTAAATATCAATTTGGATGCATTAACGTTAAATTCGGAAAATTTTAAAATAATTACAACTAAATTACGTCCATTGTTAATGTCAATTACCAACAACAAAATACAGATGATTATAAAACTATAGATTGTTTTAAGTCTTGACATTTTCAAGTTCATGGTTACTGATGTTAGGTATAAGAAAAGTTATAAAATGATCTTGTGAAAATATTCGAACACCTTTAGAAGATTTACTTCTTTTGGTAATAAACAATATTTCTCGAATAGTGAATTGGCAGAGTTAGAGGTAACTGATTATATCATAAAAGAATAATAGAATAAATAAAAATATATCATTATTGAATAGAACAACAGTTTGAGGCTATATATAATTATGGTAATGTATATAAATGGAATTTAAAAAATTAAATATTTAGAGAAAACTAAAATTTAAAAGGATATATGAATATGTATGAAAGGACAGGTGTAGTACGCTTAATTGTGTGGAGAATGGTATAACATCGGAAAGTTAAATACCAATTGTTTTATTTTATAAGTCGTGTCAAATTTAAGCGTCAGCCTTCACTGCAGTACATGTACAAAAATATTTTTCTCTCTTCCTTTTCTTTGGAAAAACAAAGATAACGATATTTATTGTACGCGTATATCGACAGTGAAAATCTACGGTAACAGATATAGAGCAACCTATTAGAAATGTTTAAATCTGTAATTAAAATTGTTTTATTCCATTTAAATTATGGAAACATTAAAAACTTCTTGACATTAGGAAAATAAAACATTTTTTTTTAATTTATGTATTTATCTACAGAAATGATCGATTTAGAATCGCATGACCTAAAACGTTGGCCTAACGAAATAATGTCCATGTAAAACAGTTTTAATTATATACTTCATTATGCTTTTTTTATATGAATTCTGTACAACAAATTAAAATATATTTTAGTTATTTTATAAGTTAGTAATAATTTTATTGAGTGTATATGAAGTGATGATCTAAGTATCCACAGTATTAGGTCACTAATGAAATGCCAAAATATGCATTAAATTATTAGAATGTCCTCTGACTTTCATTTAAAACCTTTATTTTAATAAATCACTGTAATAGTCTAGTTCATATATGTTACATAGACAAAGTTAAGCCATTTTAAATGCTAAAAGCTACTTCGTTTAAAGTGGTTTTTTGTCTTAATTAAGAAAAGCGAAGTGAAAGATTCTTTAAAAATAATCCTACTAATATTATAAATGCGAATGTTTAGATGGATGGAGGGATGGATCTTTGTTTAAAGGTATCTCCAGAACGCCTAAATGGATCTCTCTGAAATTTGGTTAACAATTGACATTTTTCTTAACATCGCGTGATGGAATCGCGGACGACAACTAGTCATAATAAGTCCCATAAGGATCTTAACGCAGTCGGAAAATAAACTAACGACGTCATCTCAACAGTGCCATATTTTGACCAATGAGAGCGCGGCAGCTGCACGGTTTAATGTTTCCCTTTTCATGATTTTGAAATTCCATAATTTTTCGCATGATGCGATGTTATGACATGTAGCTTAATTTGCTAATATGTTTATTTACAATATCTGTATATAAATTTATATAGAAAGGAATTACTACGAGAACTTGGTCATCTTTCTCAATAGCGAATCAATTGTTTGGAGTTGCAACCCTTTTAAACTTGTAAGCTTGTAAATCCCCTCGTCAATGTGAAAAAACTGACAAGATTCTAGTCAAGAATATCCATCTTATCGTCAAGTCATTAAGCCTTAATGTCGTCGTATAAATTCACTTCCTTTAATACTTTAATAAGCATGTAGGTGATGGTATGAACATGTGTGATTGTTAGCTTTTCTTCGTACTTACGAAATAAAACGAGCAACAGTTCGTGTGGACTTCCACACAAATTGTGGCACGTTTCATTTATTTAGTACAATCGTTGCTCTTCGCCTATAAATTATGATCCGTTCTCGAAGAAGTAGATGGAAAAGTTGTGAAACGTCACCAACTTTTAATTTCAAAACGAAACTTGTTTTGACAGTTAACGATTATGACATAAGTTTCGTAAACTGTCAATGCAGTCATCTGTGTAATAAACACGGATTGTTTTTCTAAATTTATAAGTTTTCTCGCGAAACTTTTTCGTACTTTATATTTGTTTTTTCTTGTGAAGCGACAAGTGTTGAAAGTTTATTACTTCTACTTTATTAATAACGGACAGTAAACAGTCATAGTGTTCTTTGAAAATAGTTGTTCTTCTTGAAGTTTCCATGCTTTTCAACCAAGAATGGAGGAATCTCTGCACCAACCCAGAACATCAAAGTGTGGGCTGTAAGTATGACTAAGAAAACACGACATTTAAATACAAAATACTTTGAATACATGTTCAAAGTTAGTTGTATAATGTTTGAATTGCATGCTCTTTTCTGGGAAGTGGGAATTAGAAACGATGTAATAATAAACTAAAACCTGTTTCAAAGTACGTTATCTTTGGATCTTTATATCTAGATGTGGTAACACAAACACATATGCTGTAGTTTACTTATTTTTGCTCACAATTTAGGAATAATCCTTCAAAATTCTGATTGATTAAAATATTTTACAGAGTTTGTTTAATTTTCTTTACTTATTTTGTTATAGTCAACAAAAAAAAGAATGACCATAAATATGTGGATTTTTATATAAATGCCCATGTAATAAAATAAATGCACCTCATTCACTATAACCAGCTACATCCAAAAAATATGCTGACATTAAAAGTTATAACTGAATGAAAAGTGTAGGTTTTTTACCCTTTTATGTGAAAAAAAATTGTTAATATAATTCTATCCATTCCATATTTTAAATGAAATGATTTTAATAATCTAGAAATGGTATGCCTTGGTCGGCCATGTTATGTTTTCCCTGAAATAGATCAAAAGCGTGGAAGAAAGCTCAACAATACAGAGTATAGCGTTACTCATAGTTTTACTACTGTTTTAGCGTGCACCATAAAGGTATAATAAAAGTGAACATTTTCTGTCAACATTTATATAGTCTTTATTTGCCGTTGGGAGACTAATTGTAGGAGGGAGCCTCACTCATCCCTAGTACCACACTATCACTATAATATATGCACAGCAACCAGTTCATGAACAAGATTAGTTGGAAATTGTTTCTCGGCCATGATCACTACATACAATCTTGAGTATATCTGCCTGGATAAGATCCTTGCACTTAACAAAACAGTATGTTCAGTTTGTATGCCAAAATCTAAGTCATATTATAAATGCGAAGGTATCTTCAGAATGGCTCAACAGATTGTGCTAAAATTTGGCATGAATGTAGAATGTGCATGGAAGAACACATAGACCCCATCGTGGGTAACAGCTAGTCAGAATATTATTTAAAAGTCCATCACTAGCATCTTCAATGTAATATACAACATTATATGTTTTAAATGCAAACAATACCAAATCTTCATGTATAAGATTAAAAAAAATTGAGGTAAAAATTTAATCAACAACTATTATTTTTTATAAAGTCACAATTTTTTATTGAAAGCATATTTTTTTATTTGTATTCTCCCTTGATTGTATGTTTAGATTAAACTCAAAAACTACAGAAATTTTCGTAGTCATATGCAATTTTTTTTCTGTCAAATTGGTATTAATACGTGTCTTGATACGTAATACTTATTCATTATTCTAAAGGATATGGTGTAAATTTCTCATGCTAAGTTTACGGTTAAGGTTCTCTCAATGACCTCTGAATAATTCTGGACGAGAGGACAAATAATTCTGCTCCATTAAAATACATTACTGTTAACAATGCCCCACTTAACATCGAACTTGACATCATTGTGAACATCGCCTTTTTGAATTCAATAAGTGCCCCTCTCTCTGTGTCCATATTAAAAAAGTTACGATCAATTGTACTACAGTTGGGAGGGTCTTTATACCCATCATTGATACATTTCTATAGTAATATTGCTTTCACGTATTCAACATGTGACTTCATATTTCTTTAGTAGATATTTTTACATTATTAAAACATCTGAACTAACGTGACTAATGTCCATAGCGACTAATAGAAAAGATGAATGACGCGTCTTGTTGCCCAATTATATAACAGTGAGTAACGTTTGAACAAAATATATAATCTTCGTTTTTAAGAGGTACTATATGTTTTTGCACGGTATTTCGGCAATGGAAACTCATATTAAAACTTCTCTTCGTCAAATCTATGACCTTTGTGTGTTTCACTTTTATTGTTATAACAAGTGCATGCAGTAACATGCACTTGTTATAACAATATTTGATATTTGACGAACAATTTGGCCGCATTTTTTTTCGCAATATTATTCATGATATGTAAGAAAAAAAACATACACTGACTCCTGTGAAGCCGGGCCAGTGCTGCTTTGAAAACTGACTTTTGTATTCGTATTTTTAAATTATCCAAATTCAACTAGTTAGTTGTTTATCAAAAAATCATAGGGCCGGACTGTCTATATGCCATAGGCCATTCCACGAAAAGAGTACAAAATGAATTATTGAACAAAATCGGTTTAGCCGTTAAAAATACAGGTACAGGGCACGCCGAAACTGATTATTCTCGTAACAGTCAGTAGAAATAATTGTAAGTCAAACACTTCCTAAATGCGTCTCGAATTTATTTGCATTTTATACTAAGGATTAAAAATTTACAATATACAGTATTATGACGTCATGTGAATTTTCCACGCATTATGTCTATTGTACTAATCCCGAATAACACAGCTCGTCTCTAGCTATTTTGAAACTGCTCGTTAACTCTGTCGTCCCCCGGTTAACGAATATAATCGCACGTAACGAACGTAGATCAAATGACATCCATCCAATCATCGAATGAAATGCTATTGTATTTCTTCGGTATAAATCAAATGGAAAAATTGTCTATTTTGATTTCTTGCCAGATCGACGGTGATTGTTGATCTAGACTACTTTACCTTACCTGCCTTGTAAATAATATAAAAAATACTATAATAATATAAAAACATCAGTCTCTTGTATAACGACGACAAATAATATAAATGTCACACCGAATAACTGGGCCAACTATTTCATGTATGCGAAAAATTTGTAAACAAATTAACCAGTTGTTACAACAGCCATTTCCGGAGTATGTATTCCAATCAAGGTCAACATTAATTAAACGCATACATATAAAATATTTCAATAATTCTAGAATTCATTTAAAAATATTTGTTTATATTATAAAAATAAATGACTGAATGTGCGATTGATATTATGTTGTTTGTGTCGAATGAATGTCACTATGATGAGATGCAATAGTAAGTAGTAATGTCTGGATTTCGAACACGTGTTTGTTTACAATACGTATGCAAAATGAAAATGGTTATCATTCAAACATTCTAGATACTTCTGTTCTTTAATCTGGCGTATAAATATCCGATTAGATGAAATACGACGTGACGATTTGTCCCTGAATTTAAATCTTTAAAGATGTTTGAAATGTTTTTGTTTTGGTAAACTTGTATGAGATCATGATATAACTTTTTTCCACGTGGATTTTTTTATCCTCATCCATACTCACCACAGTCAGATGACTCAATCTAAATAATATGTATGCGATGAATTTAAAAAACAAATATTTTTTGCTATATCGTTGTATTTACCATAAAAACGCGAACTTACACATAAACCTATCGGTCTAGTTTATAACGTCTTACCAATATTATAACTGCAAAAGTTTGTATGGTTAGATGGATGTTGGAAGGTATATCCAGAACGGATCTCAATGTGATTTGGCACAGATATAGACCGTAGTTTTTAATACCGCGCGGAAGAAGTCGCGGGCGACTGCCAGTCGTTTATAAACTAGAACATTCATGAATACACTAACTAGAGTCACCAGATGTTATCGAAACTTCAACTAGACATGTGCAGCTGGTAGGAAATGCCGAATCTTCGCGTGTCAACTTATCTATCCTTAAGGCTCTGTTAAATGTTTTTATTAAATCATTGTAATAAATAGAAACACTCACTCTATAATCCGTTACAAGCCTATCTCAGTTAATTCATATACATATCACTTTCGTGCTCTTTGAAAATAAACAAATATAACAGTAAGTTTTGTAAAGTTATTTTGCCATTGGAAACGCGCAGTAAGCGCCTAATTTCTTTTTCTTAAAATAAGTGTCGCCGACGACTTCGTCCGCATGCATTTAAAAAATAGTTTTCTTTGTGCTTTTGTAGTCTTTAATCTCTGTTTCAAATTGTATATCCCCTTCAGCCATTCTGTAGTTGTGTGGTAACAAACATCCATACATCCGTTTACAATATAACATGTAATAGGTGAGTCGTCGTCATTGTGTAAACTGTTTAGTGTTTGTGTCATCTGATAACCCTTGCGTCTGTCGTAACCCTGGAGATCGGGTCGGACGGCTTGAGCCTTCTAGAATATGCCAAACCTAAATGCAAACATCGTTGTCTATTTGTGGTCGAACAAACGAGATGATTGTGATAAAATGTTTTGTTGTTATTTACGCAATCGCTGGCAGTTAGGTTTGTACGGTATATGCTAACTTAAGTATACATTTTACTGTATAAAACCCAAGCCCAGTTTCTTCTCACATCAACTCTTTCAATCTTAAAAAAAAAGAACAAAATATTTTTATATAGGTATTTGGACGATCCAGCATCACATTGTATCCTTTAAAACAGCTAAATAAGCCGAAAGGAAAAACTGTACGTTTTGATCATGTTGAATGGAAATTTACCACGGGTACACCTACTCTTTATGCGTTGGGATTGTTTAGAAAAAAGTAAAGAAAGTATCATCCTACGAAAGATCTTTTGGAACGTATATTTTCAGTTCATTTATTCAATTTATATTAGCTGTAAATAAAACATATTAATACTAGTAGGATGGAATTTATTCTTGAAAAAATCCAAACCTAACGGAATCGTTTGATTCTGTCGAAAGCGAACGTGTTTCGATATGAGTATCGTATCAATTAGCGACATATCATTACATATTTTGGAGTTATACAATTCTCTTTTAAAACAATAATAAAAGAAAAATAGACTTATCACCTTTATGATAAACTGATTTTCAAAAATGTATTATGTAAGTCAATTAATTGGATTGAGGTCGCAAAGGATAAGAGAAGAAGAAAATCTTTACTCTCTGTCTCTCATAATGGACACAGCAGATAGTTTGTTGAAATGCCTGTAGGCAGCGAAAACTTAAGTTCAGGTGAATGCTTATTGGTATGGAATAAAGATTCAGATTAAAGACAGTTGTGTGTTTCCAGATAAAGCCGCCGGGCGGAGAGGTCGCGGCGGGCGCGAATCATGACGCGCTACCGGCACGCCAGGTACCTCTCTATACGGTGAACTTTTGTGATAAACACATATTAACAGCTGGCAAGAGATGCTGCTAAACACAATTTTAGGTGGCACGTGAAGAACATAGTGTTCGTAGTATCATCTGGTCATTTTGTACCCGCATGCAAAGACTTACGCTCACAGCTAAACACGAGCCGCTATAATGTTTGAATTTTGTTATTCAAATTACCATCGTGTATTTTGTTTTATTCATCAATCATCAATATAAATTTTAATTCATTTACGTGCCTATTAACATGTCTTATCAATATACTTGTTAGGTTATTTAACATTTCGTCGCGGACGAAAGCGAAAGCGTGCCCGTGGCCCCGTCCCGCTGCGTTGGAGGAACAGAGAGGTTTAGTGGGTATGCCTCCGCTATGGAGGAGAATCCCACATATCTGCCGCGTCCCCCCCGGGGCGCGGAGTATGCATAAAGCATTCCTCTCTGAAAAAAAGGTTATTTGGCATTTAAAATATTGACGTCACTTTTCTAAGAACTTGGCACCTTTTATAAAAAAGGAACAAGTACAAAAATGATTTATATTTCAGAAGAACAACGTGAATCAGTAAACGTGACACTAAGTCCTCATGTAGTTTAGCCGGTGATTGTTTTAAAGTTCGGAGTAATTTTGCGTACTTAAAAAGATTTCTTACTTTATCCTCGTTGGCTGGTTCTAATAATTACAGATATAGCCCACAAACTTTGGTCGCGCTAAATTTGGCATTCCATAATCTGGGATTAAGGAACTTTATCAATAATTTGTTTTAAATATAGAACAGTTAAATGTCAGTATTCGTGTGGTTTATAAAGCGAAAATATGCCGCGAACTCGAAATCTCTAAAAGTGGACGGCAATGTGTGATTGTGTCTATAATTCAAAATCGAAAAAGGAACAAACTATAGTTATAGATTTCTTAATTGATGACGTCGAGATGACCGGGATTAGGTAACTTGAGAATGCTGTGGACAGGTTGATGGATCCTTTACTTGAATTACTATAGGGGTAAAACTGATGTTCATTTCTGAAAAAAGATATCTGATGCATAGATACTACTAAAACATAGTTCTATTTGTATAGCATAAAACTTTTCTACAAATACGAAAATCTATATACCTCTATATTTGTTATAAATTTAGATAAAACTATATTTGGCAGAGAATTAAATCGACAGGAGGCATTATTTACGTATTTGACGTATCAATAAGCGATACCTGTTGCTGTTCGTGTTGTTGACAGGCGAAAACCCTCTCGCTTGCGTCTCCCTCAACCACCCTAGCCTCCCCCGCCCCCGCGACCCCACCACGCCCGTCTTCAACGTGCTTATAAACGTAAAGCCACCTACACAGTTCCAGTACGCAGCGCGTTTTACCGTAGGTTTCTGAAACCGAAATCACCGTTTACAACATTGTATTGTTACATCTGTATTGTTACACAGTTTAACTGAACAAATCGAGTTAAAACTGTCGCCTTTTAGCAAGCTTAAGGACGATTACAGACCTCAACATTCCTTAATAGTCAGCCAGTTATTACTGGCTGACTATTAAGGAAATCTGAACCGGAAGCTGGAAATCTATACCGGTTTATTAACCGGTATAGATTTCCATAATCCTCGATCTGCAATTTTTTTTAATGTAAATCATTAAAAAAAAATTACCAGATTTATTTCTGTTGTGAAATCTATTTTTTGCCTTACAAGCATAGTCTTAAGCCTTTATTATTAGTATTTATAATTATGATACTCAGCACAGGAATGTACTCGCATTGATAAATAATGTTTTAGTTTATTGTACGTGTAAATGTTAGAAAAACTAAGAGACACATAAAAATAAAGACATTATAAGACGCATTTACAGCTCCGTCTTCAAAACTTTGATGGTGTCTGACGACGCCACGGGCCCTCATTGAACAAATTAAATAAAGAGGCCTTTATCAGATTCCTGTTACAACGCCTCTGTTTTCGCGAATTCACTTCCACGATGTTACACATAAAAATAACTTTACAACCGCTTAATTAATACGAACGTAAGTACTCGCGGTGTAAAGAAATATAAGATCGCATATTATCTATCATCTTTAGCATAATTTGCTTAGCGTTAGGTAAAATTCAGAAATAACACATACTGTTTGTTTTTTTTGGTACTGCAAATTGATGAAATTATTCTTTTTTTTTCTGCCAAGCTTCCGTGAACAACTTGTTACAATGTCAATCTTTTATGAATGCCTATCGTTATCCTGTATCGTTTTTGCTACAAATGAAACAGATTGCGACACAATAGTGCTTGAATAATGTTAATTCACCTTAAAACCTCGATAACCTGTCACGTGTTTCGTGTTCCATGTTCCAGACATAACAAGGCCACCCTGTTGCTCACTCGTTGTCTATTCCATGCGGCCCCCCGCTGCGGCCGCCTGGATAACATGAATTGGGACGAAAGTGAATACTGTCTGTACTGAATTAATATAAACACGAAATTACCCAATTTTCCTTCAATTGTCCCATTGAATTTCGACTTACCTGCTTGATTATATATCTTTTGTAAATCACTTTCACTGTCGATATGTCGTTATGAATACATGAACATTCAACTATTTTGGAAAACTTCAATTTTCGTCTGTGTTTGAAACGCTAATGAAAGCTAATAGGGTTTAATTATAGGAATTAAAGTAGGTATCATCTCTCATTAAAGTCAATCGATTCGTGTCGAGTCTTTTTGCGTTGTCTCGTCGATTAGTATTCATTATTATGCACTACTCTCGTACTGCATGTACTTCTCGCTTGCGGTATTCGTGTGGAGGCCGCGTTAGCTGCTCGGCATCTACTCGTATACCCGGAGATCCCGGTCGGTTTGACACCTCCTAGGGGCTTCTTCGCACAGCCTCTGAGGAACGGATATATAATTTTTAATTAATTTTAATAATAAGGCTAACTTTAATTCCTATACAGCTTATAACGAAGATAAATCAAAGGAATTTGAAACATTGTAATGATGTTATTTTTCACACAATCCGTCTATTTTTTTTTGCCACCACTGATATACGAGTACAATATTCATGCCCATACCGTAACTTTTTGCTTCTTAGCTAAATTGTGTACCGATATAATCTGCTAACAAGGAGTCGACCGGTAGTTTATTTTGGAGTACATGTGGTCTCAAGCGATGTTAATACGTGCGATATAGTTGATAGATTATATAAAGCTGTGGTTATTAGTTTTGTGGCTTACTAAGATAATTGAGCTAAGCCCCTGGCCATTTAGGAATTTATTTCGTTACCACTTTCCGAACAAGTTCTTGTATAAACAGACTGTAAATGAATTTGTTATGTTGAAACATGTTCCTTTGACCGCTTACAACTTAGTATAGATATAAATAATATATTTAATATCCACTTGAAATAATGAAGTGCTTAACTTCATCTTACGTAAACTGAGGAATCCTTGTCTGCTTTTCCAATGCAAGTTTCAATTTATTTTATGTTATTGGAAATCAATTAATTTCTAAATTAATAGTCTTAAACATCTCACCATCATTGCGGTTGTAATGTGGTTTATGAAACACAGAAAAATTATGTTTTTAATCACAAAATAAAAACAATAACATTTTTGTGTTGTGAAAAACAAAATGGCTATCATAGCTGCTTTTCATTGACATTTTCACGTATAACGTTAGGGGGATTAATCTTTACTGAATGTATTAAAGTAAAAAAAAAAGATTATCTGGTAAATATGAAATATCAGTTGTTTGATCGGCTGGGGGTGTCGGCTGACCGGTGTAGCTTTACCTGCTGGAAGCAGGCCTGCCGGCGAATTGAACACATTGACAGGTGCCGAGTATCGGTTGTCAATTAAATAAAAGGTTCAATTTCTTCTTAGAGCAATCTGACTATAATTCCATCTAAGCTGTTTATTTTTTCTATTATACTACTTTATGGTTGTTTCTGCATAGTTTTCATCCACCTGTATGTGTTTTTATATGCTATTTTCATATAATTTTAAAGCGCATACAGTATCATAAATTGTGGTAATTTATTATATTCAAATTTTTCAGAACTACTCGTATGTACAAGTTCTATTTGTTTACTACTACTAGCAGTCGTTCTCGACTTCGTCAGCACACTATTGAAAAAAGCCTCAGTCTTAGCTAAGCCTGTAATATTTATTTAATTTATTTATTCATATAAAGAAGGAACAACATATAAATGTACAATAAAAGTGTCTATCGACCCATTGCGGGTTTGTCCAGATACTTTGGTACTACGCTATGAAATGAAACAGTAGGTGAGTTCAACTTTTTTTTTGTGTACAGCAAATTAGTGAGCTCGCTCATACTGTCATATACAGGGTGCACAAACGCGTTATAATTTTATTAGACTTAGTATTTTAGATAATGACTTTTAAGTATGTTTTTTTTGTTCTTGTTGCCGTTCAAGAATTTTGGTATCCGGAACTACCGTGTCTTTGCAGACGGACATAATTTTTTTTTAAATGGATGCTTTTTTCGTCATTACATACAGACACTCCTATTTTATAGATTCGTATAGATGATAACTTTCATCGTTTGAGTTAAAGATAAAATGTGCTCGTGAATTTGAGCTGTTAGAGATCACAATGACAAAGAGCGGTGCATTCAAAGCCCCTATTCAATCACTTAACAACGTGCACAATGATTGTTCCCGACAGGGCAACATACAACACGCAAACTAGTTTCACCTTTTGATCTTGTTTCCTGCAAACACATTGACCTGCAAAAATATTAAGTACCTTCATTTAAATAAACTTGAAGATTTTCATCTGCTTTTGCATTATTAGCTGTTGTCACAATTTGCATGTGTTTCTTAACATACTAGCTGCAACATTGTTAAAATACTACGAAAAAAATAAGGCGAAGTAAAGTCAACATGTTATTAAAAGTTCTATATTCAGATTAACATAACGTGCCACGAATTATATTTCATTGTTTTATATTTAGGAACAATGGGCGGAGCGAA